ATAATTTCGTTTTATGTTCTGTATTTTTTTTATTTATTGTTTTGTCATTCTGTAAAGTAACTTTGAGCTTTAAAGCCATATTTAAAGTTGCTATATAAAATAAAGTTTTTTATTATTATTATTAAACAAATGTCTTCATTTGAAATCCTCTCTTTTTACAATTCCTACCCTTTTACAGCACCTTGAAAAGAAATAACTTTAAAGTTGCTATATAAAATAAAGTTTTTTATTATTATTATTATTATTATTATTATTATTATTATTATTATAATGCTTTCCATCATAAACAAGGCTACTAAAGGACATTACATTTTTGCCTAGGGAAGCCCACAGTGGTAAATTTTATTTTATTTTTAAAAGTTTATGTATACATATTTGAAAAGCAGAAAGTTTTAACCTCTAGCATGATATATACATTATATATTAAGGTTAATCAAATCTACAGATCTGTGCTGAAAGTTACCTTGAAGAACATTCTTCTGTAAGAAGAATATATATATTTATACATTATTCAGTGTCGGATAATATCAGTATAGGAATCTGTATAGAACATCATACATTAATAAATACTGTAAGTTACAGAGAAACAAGACGTTTTTGTTTTCGACCGGGTAACTGGGTAGGAAAATGATTCATATATAATGTTCATCTGTACACACTAAACACAATTGTATTTAATTAATCTTTTTTAAATATAAAATTTCTTAATTATATTATCATGCACTGTAGGTGCTCTCCCATCTCTCTCTCTGGTTATGTTGATTGTTGTCCAATGCTGTATTTTAAATTTCTATATACACTATGTACAATGTGTAGAAATAAAGAACCAAGTATTTTATCAATTACTTGTGGACAATAAATAGCTTCATTCTTGTAAGTCATTCTTTCATTACTCTGTTTTAATATTGAATATCTGGTAGAGGGAAAAGAGGAAAAATATGCTCAAAGCAATATTTTCAATAATAAGCCATTTAATTGCAGTCTTCTGATATTTCCTTATATATCAGATTCATGCACTAAAATGAATAAATGGGGTCGTCTTTTATGCCTCTAGCCTTTTGATTGTTTCCGTTCACACTGGGGAGTATCGATGGCTCATAAATTGATTCTCCTGTGGATCATTGTTAACAAAGAAAGCTTTAGAATTTCCCTGGAATCATACTTATTTGAATACCACCAAGTAAGATTAGGAAGCATGGGTGGCTTGAAAGCTGTCAGAATCAGAAAGTAAAGCACCTTTCTTGTTTTCAAACTCCTGTATTAAAAAGCAAATGAGATCATTACTTTCAAAGGAAAAAGTAAAGTACTAGGCACAGGAAAAGAATAGTCATCTGAGAGCATTTCTTACAAAGTAAAATGGTTTACGTCCCCGGAAGCAATTAAATAGATGAAAGTTACACAATATTCAACAATTACACTACATATTTTGTAGTGCAGACTTAAGAAAACTTCAGTCTACTGTAAATGGATTTTCCTGATTTATTACAATATACAGTACAATATCTCCAATGAGATAAATTTGAGATGAAGAATATAGGTTAATATGTTGTAGATAAATGGTTTTATCACTTGATAGCAGATTGATTGCAGAAATTACTTAACATTATCTTAC